AGGGCTTCGGGTTTAGGCTTAGGGCTTTGGGTTTAGGGTTTAGGGTTTAGGGTTTAGGGCTTAGGGGCTGCGTGCCATGTAGCTGCTATGTAGCTTCGAGCCCGAAGATCTCCCTGTTGTGTGTCAGGTTCAGCAGAAGCAAGATTGGCTCCACGTGCGCACGCTTCGCGACCCGCAGACAAGAGAGAAAACCGTGTCCGAAGGGTTTATGGGCCTTCCTTCCTTCAACTAACAGAACCTTCCTTCAACTAACAGAACCTTCCTTCAACTAACAGAACCTTCCTTCAACTACCAGAACCTTCCCTTCAACTAACAGAACCTTCCTTCAACTAACAGAACCTTCCCTTTTGCAATGTTATAGTAATTATCAGGCTTCACATAGAGTTTGTAGGGACCCTACAAACATGTACGCTAGGGTACTTAAGGTAAGTTTAGGGTTGATAGTTTCTGCCTTCGAGCCCGCTAAGCCTAAAATGCAATAATCCTCTTTATATAAGCTTAAATCAACAGGAAAAGCCGCTCAAAACTCGAAACGTAAAGCCAAAAACCAAGCTAATCCCCAAACCTAAAGGCCCAACAATCACCACAAACCCAAAACCAAGTATCACTATAACTCCTAGACTCAAAGCCACAAATCACCCTGGAACCCCAGAGCCCACAGGCTCCTTGCATGTTGACTGTCCAGTTTTTAGAGTCGTAGGCTGAGTATACGGCCTTCCTTTTTGAATATGGTGTTCATGTACAATGAATCCCAGAAAGTTGAACATGGATCTGGGATGATTAGTGCTGAGACTATGCTTTACCTGAAGGGCATGAGCAGAATGCTGTTCCAACTTTCTGGCTTCTACTCTACACCGACATATACAGGGATGATAATGGGACGCGCTTCTGAAACCAGCCTATGGTTTGCGATCCATGGTTTCTGAAATTGCCGGCACCCCCATTTCAAATCCCCTCCGAAAAGCCCCACACCCCAAACCCTAAACCCTATACAACCCTTTCAACCGCCCCAAAAGCCCTACGCGCATTGTTAAGGCCCCGCATAGCTATCGGGAGTGACGTCATTTGCAGGCCCAGTAGGACCGAGCTCTAGTCCTTAACTACGAGTTCAGGGTTTTCAGGATTACGGTTTATAGGGTTTAGAGCTTACTTGGAGGATCATGGGACTTAGTAAGTAGGGTTATAAGTAGCTTAATTGGGGTTATAAGTACTTATAAGTATAGTTACCTTAATTATAACCCTAGTTACTAGGTCCCATGATCCTTTAAGTAGGGTTTAGTGTTTCGGGCTTAGGTTCAGGGTCTGGAGTCTGGTCGTGGCACATTGGGGTTTAGGGTTTAGGGTTCGGGTTGAGGGTTTAGGGTTTAGGGTTTAGGGTTGAGGGTTGAGGGTTGAGGGTTGAGGGTTGAAGGTTGAGGCTTTAGGGTTTAGGGTTTAGGGTTTACGGTTTAGGGTTTAGGGGTTACCCGCCCAACAGCGCCACAAGTGCAGGGACAGGGATTTTAGTTTGAACTGCGCTCGGCAGACGGATGCAAATGCGTGAACCGTGCTTCGACATGATACGCCGTAGACGATTTTGGCTCAAAGCTTCAATGTCGCCAAACCCAACAGTGCCACAAACTCTGAGCCTAAACCCTGGCCAAGCCCTAAACCCCAACCCCTAAGCCCTGAACCCTAAACCCTAAATCCTAAACCCTGGTCAAGCCCTAAACCCTAAACCCTAAAGAAGCCCAACGTTTCCCAAAGCCCGTGAGGTTTCGCCCTGCGATTGGCTTCGAAACTTTAGCTTGAAATCTTGCCGGCTTAGGTTTCAGGAGTGTTTTTTTCGCTTTCAGGGTCTATTCCAGAAGCCAGAAACCCTAAACCCTAAGCCCAGGTCCTTGAATTTTGATTTGAACTGATCATAGAATGTCGGGGGTTCCGAAAATAAGGGACCCCAACATAGTACCCTAAATAGTAGGATCCCTAAACCCTAAACCCTAAACCCTAAACCCTAAACCCTAAACCCTAAACCCTAAACCCTAAACCCTAAACCCTAAACCCTAAACCCTAAACCCTAGCCTTAAAATAAGGCACCCTCTTACTTTCGAAACCCCCCCATAGCTGCCTGTGTTGCCCACACATTCGGTCAGCCCCTGGTCTGAGATTCGGGTTTGGGGTTTAGGGGTTAGGGGTTTAGGGTTTAGGGTTTAGGGGTTTAGGGTTTAGGGTTTAGGGTTTAGGGTCTTAGTGTCCGACGGCGGTTTTTTGAAGCCTGAACCTCAAGCCGTTACGGTTTAGGGTTTGGATTTTGAGTTTCGGCAATTAGGGTTCAGGCTTTAGGGTTCAGAGTTAGGGTTAGGGTTCCTAATCTTCACAACTGGGATCTACCCCAAGCTACCCCCCAGCCATGGATCAGCATGCCTTCGAAAACTTTCTGGATGCATCGCTGCAGACTTTGCGGGAGTCTTGGCGGCACCGCTGTTCAGGGCTTTTTCTGCTTCGGAGGACGATGGGGCCTCTTTGGGAACATACTTAAAGGATCATGGACTTAGTAACTATGGTTATAAATAAGGTAACTATACTTATAATTACATAGAACCCCAACTAAGGTACTATAACTAGGTCCCATGATCCTCCAAGTAGAGCCGAGCATGCGTTTAGGATGTCAGGTTCGGGGTAGGTAGAGGGTCCCAGTACGCAAATACTATGGGGCCGCGGGCTGTAGGTTTCAGCATTTCATTGATTCACAGTGTCTGTGACCCGAAAACCTTACCAGACCAATTGGGTACTTGGGTTCGGGGGACTCAGATTACCGAGGGCTGACGGAAATTCTGAAAGTCTTGGTTGCTAGATGCCCCTACTCGCAAGCATGTTTGTCGCGTGGTATGTTCCCCCTTGCCACATGGTGCGCTGGAGTCAGGCGTGATGTTTCTAGCTCGTAATTAGTTAATTTGCGTGCAGATCCCCTAAACCCTAAACCCTAAACGCCTAACATGAGCTGACCAAAATCTTAAGAAGACGGAACAGGGCCCCTTCGGCCTGCGATGACGGGGTTTTCTGCTTGTGATGAGTTGTTCTGCACCACGGACCATGGTCTGGGTCGGTTAGGGTTTAGGCTTTAGGCTTTAGGCTTCAGGCTTTAGGGTTTAGGGTTTAGGGGTTAGGGATTTAGGGGTTTAGAGGTTTAGGGGTTTAGGGTTTAGGGCGCTTTGGTCTACTGAGAGGTAGGCGCTCTGTCAGTGGGACCCTCCAAGCCATCTTCACGAGGAGACTCCAAAGCAAAACAGCTCTTCAAAGCGAAACCCGATTAATGTAGGGGCCTTAATAATTAGAGCAGGGATATGAGCCCGCTATACGATAATTACACTAAGGACCCTCCAAGAATCATGTAGGTAATTATGTAGGCCCCTATAGTAAATCCTGAATCATCCTCCTCAGGAGCACTTGGTCTCAGCATACCCGGACATCACCAAAGCCACCTTCGACTCGGGCGACAGGCAAACTCTATCGGGACCTGTCAGAACAATCTCCTTGGGGCTCCAGCTAGCAAACAAATCCTGTTTTAGGGTTTTAAGGGTTTACAAGGGTTTATAGGGGTTTATTAGGTTATTAGGGTTTATTAGGGTCTATTAGGGTCTATTAGGGTCTATTAGGGTCTATTAGGGTTTAGGGCTGCAGCACAGCAAGAAGAAGGATTTAGGACATGCAATATTAGGGTTTATAGGTATGCCAATTGGGATTTGGGGTTGCAAGTATACGTACCATTGTTCCTACAGTTTACGTATCCGAGTGTTTGGGACCTACAGTCCCGCTATTTGGGCAGTTGGACCCTTCCGGAGATTGGGGAAAGAGTGCACCCAAATCCAAAAGCCCAAGTTTTCTTAGAATGGTCATCCTAAAAACCGTAAAAACCGGGAGCCCGAACGTTCGAAGGTTAGTATTGCTGGTCCTGGCTTCCAAGACCTGCACTCTGAAAGCTCCGGGTAATCCGTGGATTGGATGAGACATAAGTCGAGAGATGATTCGCATCCTCAAGCCATGTGCTTCGGGTTTATGGCTTAGGATCCCCTATGCTACATGTCCAGTGTCACAAAGAGCAGCAGTATCCTATGGTAAAGGCACAAGGTCGAAGACATTTCAGGTGGGTAGTTGCCGTTATGGGAGCCTTATAGAAAATCTATATACCTTATAACAGCCTTATAGAAGCCCGATATACCCTAAACTCCCCACCTGTAGTTTCCCTAGACCCTAAACCCTAAACCCTAAACCCTAACCCCCAACCCCTAAACCCCTAAACCCCTAAACTCCTAAACCCTAAACTCCCCACCCTGTAGTTTCCTTTCAACTCGGCTCCGCCGCGCATTTCATGACTGCCCCTTCCCATGATTCTCGCCTCTGTGAGGCTCCGTCAGTACTAAGGGGTTTAGGGTTTAGGGTTTAGGGTTTAGGGTTTAGGGTTTAGGGTTTGGGGTTTAGGGTTTGGGGATTTAGGGTTTAGGGATTTAGGGATTTAGGGTTTAGGTTTGAGGGGTTCAGGGTTTAGGGTGTAGGGTTTATCAGTGCGCGGTGTATACGTTACACTGTATGAGGGCTCCTGCTATACTTTAAGGTGTATTTTTGCAGTCTCTGAATACCCTACACCTTAAGTTCGATTACACAACCCTAGACACATTTCTAAACACCAAACCCTACACCCTCAACCCTAAACCGCTAAGTTTTCAATCTTAAACTTAGCACCCCACCAAAATTAAGCAAACCCTTAATCAGGCCCTTTCAACCCCGTAAACCCCTCAAGCCTGAACCAGACCCGGCACCCACCCAAATTCAGCAGGTTGAGCGTTTGCAAGCATTTTCTTCTTGTTTAAATGAACCCTCTTCTTGTCTTCTAGGTGGCACATTGGGAAACTTTAGAATTTCCCTTGTGGCTCCTATAAAAGTACCTATTCATACATACTTTCCAGGGCCCCAGAACTACAACCCAGGTTTTTGAAACCCAATTTCAGCAGGTCGAGCTTTGGTTAAAATCCTCTTCTTGTGGTTTAGGGCTTAGGGTCTATAGGGTTACCTAAACCCTAACCCTAAACCCTAAACCCTAAACAACCTCTCCTTCTTGTTTTTAAAAGTTTTAAGACCCAACTTCAGCAGGTTGAGCAACCTGTCGCGCGGGCTGCAGAAAGTCGGCTCGGCGTCGCCCGGATCGGTCTCGGGAGGCCTCGGTTGGATGCTCTTAGTTTTGCAGGGGGTTTGGGGGTTTAGGGGTTTAGGGTTTAGGATTTTAAAGTTTAGGATTTAGGGTTTAGGGTTTAGGGTTGAGGGTTGAGGGTTTAGGGGTACCTGGCGCCGAGTAGACCTACCTTTTTATAGGCTTGCCTATTCTGGCTTTTAGATTTAGCTTCCTTAAAAAAGGCTAGGTCTCTTAGGCCACAAGAAGGTTTAGGGCTGAAATTGTCTAGGGCTCATAGGGGTTCAGGATTTAGGGCGAAGTACGCAATAGTTAGCATTTTGAGGTGTATTGCAATCGGGGTGTGGCGGGGTTGAAGGGTCCAAAACCACCCAGTCATTGGGCACTTGGGGTGTAGGTTAGTAGCAACATTAGATGATGCTTAGACTTGGACCCTTACCCAGAGGCTCCATATTACCATTATGGAATCGGGTCCCTAAAGCCATAATAATAAGTATGGTCTTTTGGGGCCTAGTTCCAGAATGGTAGTCTATATGGAGCCTCTGGGCTAGGGATTGTGGCTCAGGAAACACACGGCCGCGTCTGATAAGATGCGCCGTGAAACAAGACGGAGAGGATTTTGGGCAACCATGACAGAAATCCCTGTATGAACCACTACCCTAAGGGTCCAAAGGACCCAATAGTAAGGTACTTTGGTTGCGGATAGTAGTTATCTAGGTTAATATTTGGGAGAGTATACGATTATTCGCTACTTGGACCCTTAGGGTTACAGGAATCCTTCCAGGAAATCATGGCTTCTAACAAATCAGCATGCTTGAGCCTGCGAACCATGAACCCTACCCACAGCCCTACCTGGAGGATCATGGGACTCAATAAGCAAGGTTAGAAGTACCTTAATCTGGACGGGTTGCAAGTAATTATAAGGAGGGTTACCTTATCTTTAACCTATATACTGTTGATGATTGATATAAATCCTGCACTAGCTTAAGGACCCTAAACTATGGGAATTATAGTATATTCCTGATTAATATGGGTAGTGCAGAATTGTACCGTAGTTACTAAGTCACTAAGTCCCATGATCAATTAAGTACGCTGTAACCCCCACTCTTGAACCCTTAGATGTCAGGGCCCCTGCCAACCACTCTCCTTCGGGTGGCCGCCACGCATTCCGGGCCCTCCGACGAGGCTTGGAGGCTTTAATATAGGGTCCTGAATAACTAGCACAGGGTTTTGGGTGGGATTTTGTACTGATTAAGCAGCTGTGGGCGGGAATAAACTGGCTTCAAGTTTCAGGGCTTTCGTTCCACGATAAGCTCAGCTGAGGAATCATTCGTTGAGCCGGTTTGTCCAAACACAGGCAGCGAAACCATGATGGCACGTTTGTGGTTCAGGCCTTTGGGTTTAGGATTTAGGGTTTAGGGTTTAGGGTTTACGGCTCAGGGTGTGCGACCTTACCTGGCTACGTGTGTATGCTTTCTGGCCACAACAGAGACGCTTGTCAGAGGTTCCTCCACGCACATCCGCACAGGGAGAACTTCTTTCGAAACATCAGCTGCCCAATCCCTAAACCCAAAACCCTGATGTTTTAATGACAATGCCGCACGTGCCCAAAACCTTTGGCCAGAAGTCGCGCGAACGGTAAACGCCCGAAACCTAGAACGACCTAGGTTCTAAAACCGAAGGCTTAAACCCTAAACTAAACTCTTATAGACCTAAACCCCCAATTCCTAAACCCTGTAGACCCTGTCGACCTAGACCCCCAAACCCTAAACCCTAAACCCTATAGACCCTATAGACCCTAATTAAACCTCCAGAGCCCTAAACTCCAGTCTCGATCCTGTTTAACACCTAGACGTCCAGACGAGCTGTGACATAATATAGGGACCGAAATAATTGCCCATACTATTTTCGGGGCTTCGTTGGTATAGTTATGGTATTATGGTATAATATACCCCAAAACCCTAGTCGTATTATCAGGCCCCTACATTATAGAACCCCTATAGTAACCTTTATAGTATCTCCTTTAAGGAACCCTTTAAAGGAACCCTATTCTAATCATTAAGGCCCTTATATTAAACCCCCCAGGCCGCTACTTCGTCGAGCACGGTACGCTTCTGCGACCGGATGCGCATTAGCGTTTAGGGTTTAGGGTTTCAGGGTAATGTAGGTTTCAGGGTTTCGGGTTTAGGGTTTAAGTAGGTTTAGGGTTTAGAGTTTGGGGTTTAGGGCTTTAGGGTTACAGGGTTAAAAATCCTGCATTACCTGATAAGGACACTCAACTATGGGAATTAGGGTATATTCCTTTTTCTGAGCAATGCAGGATGTATATCATCAACCGTAGTAGCTGAATGGGTAGTGTAATCTGTTATTGTGTTATATCTTACGATAATTACTAGAGTCGACTATAGCATGTTCTGGTATGCTCTGGTATATCGTGGTATGTTCTAGTATATTGTAGTATGTTGTGCTATTGTATAGCAAAGTAGACCCCTCAGAAATAAATACCTCTGTTTGTGAAGGATCCGTAGGATAGCCCCTGTAATTCGGAAGGGGCTCTAGCAGTCAGTGGTGTGTATTGACATTTAGAGATTTAGTTTTTCGGTCCTTCTGAGTCTCGCGCAGGCTCTCTACAGGGTTGTTATAAGAGTTTGGATTTTCTGGGTAGCTGACTGTTGCAGTTCAGCTAGCCCTACCGGGCCCTACCGTATCCCACCATTGCTAAGCTTATGTTTGTCTTACGCTCGTGAACTCAAGTACTGACTGTGTTGCTGTGTGAGACTTTCACGGGGGAGGATCTTGAGCGTAGTTCTACAGTGCCGTCTTCTTGGCCAGTCAGACGTCCCATGTTTCATTTTAGGTGATGTTTCTGGACTGTAAGTAAATTTCTGAGTCGTGGAAGTCACGAATAGTGTGATTTTCGCGATGTGTGACTACTAGCTGTTACTAGCCGCAGTGCTACGGGTATACGATGTCTTTTGCTAGCTTTGTGGCCGGCTGAGGAATTTAGAACCGACAAGCCTTCCGCATTTCACCTGATAATAGAGAAGCCTAAGTACTTACCAATATTCCGTTAAGGGTTCCTTCCTGTAATTATAGTGTAAAGGAGCCCCAAACCCTATTCTAATCATGAAGGCCCCTATAGTATCTTAAAAGCTGCCCCACCGCCCAACGATGCCACCAAAATACTCCAACCCTCTTCAGCCGGGCAAGCAACTAGACTCAAACATGTGGCTTTACCACTGTGAGCTTTGCGTCTGTTTTTATCCTTGTTCCCCAACTTTGCAAGGCAATGAAGATGTGTTCCTCAAGAAGGAAGACTTGGTTGACATTTTGGATTGCCACATGTATGCGGCGGACCTCGCCATCGCATGCTGCCGGATGAGGGCGGCAGGCAGCTTTCCTTGTCGCCTCAGGGTGTGGAACATGGAGTACACCAATGGCCCAGGCACCACGTTTGGCTTGAAGCGGTTGTCGCAGTACTTGGGGAGCAAATGGCTCGGAAAGCAGATGCAGCTGTTCGAGGAGACAGCCTCTGGGATTGTGGTTGCAACGCCGGAGGGCTCGGAGACGCTGACTGAGGCAGACTTGGCGAGTCTGCGCCAGACCCCCGCCGTCTATGAGGCGTACCAAGGCCTTGGCAAGCCCTAAATCCCGAAACCCCGAGCCCTGAAGCCCTAAGCCCTAAACCCAAACGCCCTAAGCCCTAAACCCTAAACCCGCAAGCCCTAAACCCTAAGCCCTCAAGCCCTAAACCCCCTAAAGACCTAACACTAAACCCTAAAGCGCTATAGCCGCAAACCCTAAAACCCTCCAGCCCTAAACCCCCTAAAGACCTAAAGGTTAAACCCAACACTAACACCTAAAGCGCGATAGCCGCAAACCCTAAAACCCTGCATCTCCCCCGGAACCCTGACCGCCTCTGCCCCTTCAAACTCTAAGCCCCCAACCAATTTCCTCTTCAATTCTAAGCCCAGCTGGATACGCTTCTGGGGTCTAGGGTCTAGGGTCTAGGGTTTAGGGTTCAGGGTTCAGGGTTTAGGGTTTAGGGTTGAGGTTTTAGGGTCTAGGGTCTAGGGTTCAGGGTGTAGGGTTTAGGGTTTATAGGGTTTACGGTTTAGGGCTCAGGGCTTATAGGGTTTAGGGTTCAGTGTTTATAGGGTTTAGGTTTAGTGGCCTTTATAAGTAATTACCTATACAATTTCGGGGGCACCTTATTATACTATAATAGTATAAGACACCCCAAGACCCCATTCTAATTACTAAGATCCCCGTCGAATACTAATAAGGCCGTACCCTATGTATGTAATTTTCTGCTGCATTCCGCACAACTTCACCCAAGCAACTCATGGGACTCGTTTCCTTCTCAATCAGAACGCCGCTTTCCACCGCGGGGAGGATGGGGATCGACTCCTTCCCCCCGCCCCGCGAAGCAGCTGCCAGTGGATTGTTCGTGGTCAAGTCTCTCGTAGAGAGAAGACCTTCCTGCTTTTTCTGGACGGTGCCCACGACAGTGAGTCCCCCAGCCTGCAATCCCTAAACCCTAAACCCTAAACCCTAAACCCTAAACCCTAAACCCCTTTAGAGGAGCCCTAGTCTAATCACCAAGAGGCCCCGACAGAATGCTGGAAGTCTCGAAAGGTTCGCTGGTAGCCTCTGAACGCCACAGTCAGAGACCAGAGCCGGAAATCCTGAAGCCCCACAGCTCATAAACTACCTAGGGTTTAGGGTTTAGGGTTTAGGGTTTAGGGTTTAGGGTTTAGGGTTTAGGGTTACCTAGACCCTTAAATGTAGTATGTTTTTTGGTTACCTTAGTTTCCTATTGTAGGGTCAAGACTAGTAACACATCAGACATCCGAGAGAAGGTATTGTAGTTCAGGGTCTAGGTAGGGTGTCGAAGCCCCAAACCCGATTTATTTCCAAACCCCCAGCACGAAATTCTAGGTTCAGTTGAGAAGTTCAAACCCTAAGCCCTAAACCGAAACCCTAAACCCTAAACCCCGCACTCCGCTCCCAGGTGAGGAGATCGCCATTCGAGACACTTGGACGGCACAGGAAGCCAGAACAGACCCTGAACAGCTTTGAGCAAAAAAGCCAAGCCTTAAAAGCGATCCAAAGGGAACGGTTTAGGGTTTAGGGTATCTCAAGGAAACACAAACCCGAATCCTTAAACAGAAACAGAAACCCAATGGCAACCGATCGTTTCCATATGCCTGGCCACTTCGGAATACAGATCAGTGTATGTTCTAGGTTTTCGAGGTTTCCCAGTAGGACCCTTCCTTTTGCCCTTTTTGTTTTTCGGGTTCCCTTATTGAAACAAAATAGTAGGAACAAGGGCACCCTTATTTCTAGGGGTCCACTGGGGAACCTAGAACCCCTAAATGGAACCCCTAAGCCCCTAAACCCTAAACCCCTAAACCCCCGAACCCCCGTAAACCCTAAACCTTAAACCCTAAACCCTATGGACTGGATTTTATCCTTGGGAGACTAGCAGCAAGTCAAAGCGCGTGCTTCAAAGACCCTGACCTGGGAGCCCGAAGGCCCTAAACCCTAAACCCTAAACCCTAAACCCTAAACCCTAAACCCTAAACCCTGAGCCCGAAGTCCCAAGCCCTAAACTCTAAACCCGAAATTAGGGGGTCAAGAGTTTAGGGGTTTAGGGGTTTAAGGGTTTAGGGTTTAGGGGTTTAAGCGTTCAGGGCTTTGGGGTTTAAGGGTTGAAGGGTTTAAGGTTTAGGGTTAGGGTTTAGGGCTTAGGGGTTTAGGGGTTTAGGCTTTAGTGAGCCCGAAACCCTGAAGCCTGGAACATTGAAGCTTTACCCCTAAGTCTAAGCCCATTATAGGTG